AACTTCCCATTCATAAGCCCCTCTTGAATCATCATTCTTAATTCTTTGAGGATCGCAATATATGAGAATTCTATGTACCCTACGAAGGGCTTAGCATATTCATTTTGGAAATTATCATTCAAAAAATCCTGACATCAAGCTATCAAAAAGATCAATTTGAAATGTGCAGCCTAAAGAGAGAATAAATATATAAAAAACCGTTGATTATATTACAATGAAAAATCATTTATTATATTGGTTGTTTATTCAAGGTGAGGTAATGAGGTTATGCTTTCTAATGTGAGCGCTTCTTTTCAATGTTTGCTTATAAGCTGAGAAGACAATTTTTGAAGCTTTCTTTTCTCCCTCAATTTTCAGATACTGACTTTTTGTGAATTTTCGCCACCATTATTCTCTTACTGCTATTTCCAGATTGCGGGAACAAAAATGACATATCACAACGCTATGGACTATATAGATATATGTAGAACTCACTGGCAATGGTAAACAATAGCAACCAGTTACATTTATTAAATCTTATGGTTGCACGAACACAAAAAGCAAATTGAAAATTGAGCTGTAGATCTGACTCTTCAAAATACATTGGCTTGCGTTGAGAGTAGGAGGATATGAAGTTGTAATAAAAAGGCGAAATAGCTTTTTTGAAATGTAACATGTAAAGAAGTTTTCTGAAACCATCGAATATCTTTACAGCTTTAGAGGTTGCGGTAGTGGAAATTTCAGAGCGATAATAACGATCAATGTGGGCGATCACTATAATTTGAACTTTAGCCGATATTGCCGGCGGATACGATTATAGACGGTTCAAACCAGCAACAAGTAAAGGCGCTCTCTTTGGCGATGAAATATCAGCTGAGTGTTTATGGAATGCTAAACAAAGGGACACATTCGCCCTTTCGGCGTAGAAGGCGAAGTCGAGGAGTTTGACGTTGTCCAGATCCCAAAACAGCGATAACGTAGAGGACAAAGGCAACGATTTAATCTTTGCTACATGAATGGTAAAGGGTGTTGAAATTAGGAGAGCATGATCAATCCGACAAGCGCATAGTTTCAGCAAAAACATCTAAAGCATTTTCAACATTTTTTAGACGGCTAAGCAAATAATGCGCTATTGTCGGCAATGAAATGCCGCC